GAGTGAAAGTGGTAATTAATTACGTTAATTACGAATTACGTATTTACGGTAATTAGCTAATTACCATATCATGTATAATCCTGCTAAAGGAAAATCTAAAGAACAAAACTCAAGTATTCTTGATGATTTCTCTCTTCTCAATCATAACAAAAGTGGCCTCTTTTTGACAAAATATATTTAAGGAATGTATATCAAATAAAGAATGATTAATTATAACATTTATTTATATGGGGCATACTGCAACAAAATCAGACAAAGTGAACATTGGTATTACCAAGGATTTCAGGGATCAAAATTATTTGAATATTTTTTTAATATTAAACTCGATAGCTGAAATTCTGATGTCAATTAATATAAAAGCCAAAATGTCAAATATTTGGCAAATGCAAATTTGGGAACTTTGGTTTTGGCTGAAATTAATTTGGGCTTTTATGAAATACTTTTGACCAGAAACCTTAACCTATAACCCTATATATAATTTTATGTTTGCTTTGTAATTTTTTATTTTAATTTCAAAGTAAGATATTTTAATGATCTCAAACATATTCTGATGATTCTGGTTTTGTGGAAATTAATGATTATAAACCTTCAACACATATATACATACTAACAGTTTTTTTAAGTCTAATAGCAATAATATTTTATTGAATTATAAAATACAAGTAACTTTGGATGTAATGATTGCTGTTTATAATAACACAAATCTTTTTGGTTCTTTTATGATATAAACATATTAGAATAAATTTTACTATAGTCCCAGGAGTGTTGCTATATCCATTTATTAAATTTTTTATAAATCTATAGTCAAATTCTAGAACTTTTCAATACAAATCTTGAAAAAGATTCAAAAAAACATTTTCTTTGACTTTTTTAATGATTGGTGTATCTGGTGTTGTGTAAATTGGTGAAGTGGGTGGTGACGGTGTTCTTGATTCTTTTTCTTTCATTATTTTTTTTAAAATATCTGAAATATAAAGCATTGTATGCTAGCATATACAATCAATCAATCAATTAATATTAATAATAAAGACTCATTGCAATGCCAAGATTTACATCATTAATAAAAACCAACCCTAAGAGCCAGTATATTTTCCATAAAATAGGGAAGAGAAGAATCTAAATCAGCTAATGATGTTGGGAGTTTGAATGATCTTAATTTATTAAAAAAATAGAATTTTAATTCATGATCATAAGTCATTGAATAGATATCCCACGTAAAGTCTATTAAAGTATTGAAATGAAAAGACATTAATTTTTTTTCAATGCCAAACAATGGCTACCTAACAATCATTTTATTACCTGATATTTGAATACCTAATATCATTAATTTGGCAAGAGATTCTTTAGAAATGTTCATTTTTTCAACAAATGTATCCATGCAATCCTTTAAAGCAATTTTTAGCTGATTATAGTCACTATTTGTATCTGTTAAATTTTTATCTATACCAATTTCTAATAATAGAATTTCAATATCATAACATCTTATTTCAATAATTAAATCAAGCTTTCTATCATCATTGGTTAATTTAGTATATTCTGGGTTTATATATCTTCTTTTTCTTGCTGTGACTGCTTTGCACCCTTTTTCAAGCCTAATAATTCAAAATGTAAATTCTCAATTCCTTGGAATATAGATAGTCCAGAATTATAAATAGAACAACATACCAGAACAAACGAAATTTTCCAAGGTCATAGCTTTCAAATATTTTTTTAAATATTGGAGCAAAAACATTAACAATCATATCCCTTTCTCTGTCAGAAGTCATTATGATATTAATATTCTTCTTAAAAGTTTTAATACTGCAATAAATAATAAATCAATAACTTTGTTACACATGAAAATTACAGTCATGTTTGATATTAAACTTACAAAAAATTAGTAATTTTACTGGCCAAAATAGCATCTGTATCATTTTTGATTTGATCAAAACTCACTTTCCATGTTACCAAATCTTCAATTAATTGCTAGATTAGACAACAAAAAAAAATGTCAGTAGTCAGATAAAAAGATTGCAAAGACTATGTATATAAATGATTAGGAGGATCTTTTATTATATTCAGGACTTCACTAGAAATATTTCCTTTTAAAAATTTTGGTATGGTTTTTTTAATTAAATCATAATGATCAGACATCTTGAGTATAAATTTCCAATCTACAGATTCGGTAAGATCAATTATCCTTGCTTTAATAGACTGCACTTCAATATTATTAACTTTTAGACAATTCATTGCATTATTCCAAATCTCTTCAATATTTATCTTGGAATTAATAAGTGTGATGTTCATTGCTCATAAGTATAAGTATATCAATTAATTTTTAATCATTAAAATAGGCATGAATATTGATATGAGCTGATTTGATACTTACCCCATTAGTAACTATGTCATTACCAAGTTTTTTCTTATCATTAGAGAACTGTGATAATGGTGATCGATTTTCCTGTAAGTCAGAATCAGAAATTGGATTAATATCAAAACAGTCAGTCTTGCCATTTGAAGAGAATGCAGTTTACTTACTTTATTGCGTTTGTCATATTTGTCAGACGTTTCTCTAAAAGTAGATAAATCAAAATTTTAATTTAATCTAGAATGACAACAAGTAATAACCACCATTTTTTAAATAATAACTAGAATGATGACGAGTGGCGGGCGATAACCACCACCACCATCCTTAAAACACTTACCTTTTTTCTTCACTAAGAGCACTTGCTTTTCTTCTTTTACTTTTTTTGTTATCAAACGACATCTTTAAAAACAATAAAAAAATAAAAGTTTGTTATGATCGATGCATACACATTAATTATTTATAGGGTTTGTATTTATGAATACCGTTAGGGGGCCACACATGGTCACACACTATTAAAATCAAGCATTTTTAAGGGATTTTTTGCTGTTTTAATAGTGTGTAACCCCCTTAATGGTATTCATGGTATTCATGAATACAAACCCTAATTATTTATCCTATTGGTTTTTTTTTTGGTAGGATAGACGCGAATTGATTTTTTTTTGGGAAAACAATTTATTTTTTGACTGAGCCCAAGGTGACAAAACGTGAGTGTTGTAGTTTGGTTTGGTTTGGTCTCCTAAAGAATACGTGTTAATAACTAACCAGAGGTACTACTTTTTATTGGTATTGATATGTATGAGGTGTCTTTTATTTTAGCTTATAAATATTTTAATTGGAATCAAAACGCGGAGCAGATCTTGCTGGGTAATTACAAGGTTTTCATTAATAATATTTTGCTTTGTGTAATCGTTAATAATATTAATATTACTATATAATTACAAGAAGATGTCAAGGCAATACACCATTGAATATGAAACATTTTGAATATGCAATGTTTGATTATCGGAAATTTTTAGAGATGTTGAAGCACGCACGCATGCTACCTTGAACACATTACAGTCATTCTCTCATCTTCCTCGTGTACACAAGGCTAATCTGACTTGATCCCCTGATGATACAATGATGCTACTGAATTCCAGGGGGCGGGTAGCAATGCCCTGGAGTTTACCATGACTGCATCAATCGTCAATGATGCTTTTCACTAATCTTTCCTCACAACACTCAGACCAGAGATGGCTGTCATGTTAGACGAAAAGTTGCCTGCAACAATCCTACCTCTAGGGTAAGGATGGCTCTGTGACCAAGTTGCAACTCTGTTGATGAATTGTAGTGCCACGTAAATATCCAGATCCATCAAAGCAACAAGAATCTGCATCTCGTTTCAAGCACAGGAGGTCACAATCCAGAGCAGGGTTGGTGGCCCTGAAATTGCATTTGGGCTCTGATGTTAAGAGGAAAGTTGTAAAATAGTGTTTTTTTGTATAATCATTTTCCTAAACACTCTGTTTCTCTGATTCTAACCAATTTAATAATTTTGGGTAGGGGACTGGGATGGGTTTCTGCCCAATCAGTCCCCCTGTCCTGTAGGTTAAAATTATCACATGATTATATACATCTTTGTCAGCAATATGGCCAACAAGAAAAAGTCATAAAATGGTTTGGATTTTGGTATGTTATGTTATAAATTAATCATTTTCATAAATACTCTGTTTTTCTTTAATTTTTGTTGACCAACTGAATTTGTTGTTTTTTTAAATGTGAACTTTTTCCCATATAACCTCCCACTCTAGGTTAAAGGAGTATAGCTCAATGAGAGCATGTACCTTACAAGTATAAAGGTGGTAGTTTGATTCTGCCCACTCCTATTGTGATAGTCACCATGATCACTGGCATCAAGAAGAAAGCTGTAAAATAAAATGGTTCAGATTTTGTTTGGTATGTTATAAATTAATCATTTTCCCAAATTTTCTGCTTCTCTTTAATTTTTATTTGACAAACTGAACTTGTTATTTAAATAAATGGAGCATGGTTGTTGGTGAGTAGGCATGCCACTGACAATACAGGAGATGCCTTTGAGATATACCAGCCAAACTCATAGAAAGGGATCTTTTGTCCAGACTTAGGGTCACATGGATGTTAAGCACAGAAAATGTACACTATCAATGTATATTTTTTTCAACAAAATAAACATTTAAATAATTAATTGTTAAATATTAATACTTTTCTTTTCATAAAAATTACAGCAACCCAGGACTCAAACTCTGAATTCAGGGAAAATTTAAAACAGCAACCCAGGTTGCAACCTTCTGAGTTGCAGAATTTTGAACCAGTTGCAGGTGCCAACTTTTATGCTAGTGTGGCAATAACACACAGCAATCATCACACAAATGCCAGCTATCAGCGATCAATGCCCATATAGTGACAGCCAA